CACTGGTACAGATGGTACATCTTAACAACTTACTCGATTGATATTACTGGCCCCATGATGGTTCGTTTTTTTTGAATTCTAAAAATTTTCAATTTTGAGCCAGAAAATTAGAAATTATTACTTTTTCTGGGTCTTAAATTTCCAAGTTTTTATATTTTTCCAAACTTAATATACGTGTTTTCCTATAGAATGTTATCATTCCCAGCTTTTATTAATGCATTTGGAAATACAGATTAACTGTTGAAATTTTTTATCCGTTCTGTTTTTTCGTTTGGGACCTTTCTGTTCGTCTTTTTTTAATCTCGAAATTTTTCGACAAAAAAACCATTAATCAAATCTTCCGAAGGTGAGAAGCAGTGCTTTTACAGGTAGCTGTACAAAAAGTGACGGTACTTGCATTTTCATTACACGATGGTAAAGTCAAGAAAAGTGATGAACTGAACGATATACAGAAAAGAGAAGCCCTCAGGTAAGTGCACTTTTCAGGAAATGTGCCTCTAGATGTGAATGAAAATTTTTTTCACTTTTTCCAAGCATACTTATACATTGGAAGGTAATGATGTACTTGGGAGTGAAACAGCGACTTGTGATCACTTTCTAATGTAAAAAAACATTATAAAGGAAATGTATTGCCAGAACGAGAAGCTGGGCTGCTCATGTGGCGAAGATAACTGACAGGAAAGTAATAGTATTCAGGATTTTAAAACGAGCAATAGGAAGGGTATTAGTATGTTGGGACGGTTTACTAGATCGAATCTATAATACGATGTGGATGTCGTGAACAAAGCTCTTTCTCCAAAAATTGCTGGGGATCGGCAGGGAATCGAACCACTCCCCTTCACGTCTGGACGCAATGTGTTGCCACTACACTACCGGTTCTTGTGCTCCAAGTTCAGCCTGGCAACAAATTTACTGTGTATCTGCCTTTCAAAGCAAGATACACCCTTCGTTTTTTCTCTTTGTCTTTTTGGCGGCTTCTTGGCCGGCTTTTCGCGGTTTTTCCACGACAGTGGGTAAGAGAAACGCAGGACTGTAGTGGGTGGAAGAATTTCTAGATTTATAGACAGAGATCCAAGCTATTGAATTAGCAGTTGTTCTAGGTGTTCGAGACATTAAGCAGAATGATCTGGCATGGCTACACATGCACGCATTTCGATTCTTTACAGTTTTTAGGAGTTTTTTAGTTCAATTTATTTTTAGGTCGGTGCCGAGTGTGCTGAATTTTCTAAGTTATGTGTTTCATTTCCAGTCTGTATTAGTTGGCCCACTGTGTTTTTACACTGACTATATGTCATGGATTGATGGAACAGCTGCCATTGGAAAAGATGGAAAGGTAAGCTTTGTGTTC